TAGGCCAGAATACTGGAGTGGATCATCTTTCCCTTCTCCAGGGGTTCAAAGTTTCAGGGTCGGATTTGTTTGGCTTTGCCTGTTGAAGCCAGATTTGGTGAATTCATTACCGACACTTTTTCTGCTGTTGTAAGCACAGCATCTTATTCTATATTGCTAAGCAGAGTTGGCATAATCATGTTATATGTTTACTTAATGTTTCTTAATCATCAGACATAATTCAGGGAGAAGGGACAAGAGATCTTATGTCATCTGAGCTTTCTGCAGTAACACCTTACATTGGGACAGCCCATGAATTTGTCTACAAAGAGTTAGCCAGTTCCATTTTGAAATATTCTGGTGTTATTAACAGCTGGTTTGTCTCTTCAGTAAACAGAAACATTTTGCTTTTTTTCTGCCTTAATATCAGCAGTAAGAACCTCACACTTAGTTCAGCGTGGGCTGTATACACCCAAAGGTGACATACTGACTTGCACAGTTTTACTTAGAGTTTTTATTTGGACTGCTTTAAATATCAAAACAAACAAAAACCTGAAAGGCCAGAATTCTAAGCCATAACTTCCTAAACAACAAAACATGTACAGGAAGTTCAAATATGAAACACAAGATGACAGAACCTTTATTTTGAGTAGCACAAAAAATTGTAAATGGGCATTCACATCAAACATCTAAGAGGCCCCTAGAAATCCTGCAGAGAATCCTAGAATTTTCAGGAAAATAATTTGAAAAAGAGACAATCGGTGTTGTCTAGTGGGGGTCATGGACTTGAAGTAGTTTAAGAAGTTAACTTATCTCTATTCATTGTAAAAGGCAGGCTGTATGGTGGAGAAGAGAGGAAGAATTTGAACATGAGTGCAAGGAAGGAGCCGTAATTGACAACTAAGAGAAACTTTTGGAGCAGAATATTCTAAAAGGACCACATCTTGAGATTTGAATGTGTTATTGTAGTTCCTAGGTTTTTGCGATCTTCTGAGAGAATGGAGAGAGAATAGAAAAATATTTTGAGTGACTCCCGACAGGAAATTATTTTTTCTTTTAAAAATTCACAGGATTCTTTCAACTCATAAATTCATGAAAGCAGCAAAAATATTAGTTGGGAGGAACTAAACAGCTGAGACATTTCTGAGCTTAAAAAGTATGGCCTAAAAATGGCAAGAAGTTTTCCTTTTAAGTCTATAAATAAGATTGTAAACACTGAGTTAGACATAAACTCAGTATATTAAATTGCCAAGGTTCACCTAGCAAAAATACCATTTAAATTTTTCAGTTAATATTTTATATCTAAAGTAGATGAATATTAGAGAAGAACACATTAGTTTTATTGGGATAGATTCTTTATTAACCATTGCCAGAAACATCTAACAGTCATAGTGCGTTTGGTTTAAGTAAAACATTCGTGTACTGTTTTATTGATAGTGTGGCAAAAATTCCCTCCAGACAACCATGATGAGAGCCTGTTGAAGTGGAGATGATTTACATTTTGATGATTTCTTAAATAGGGTTACATACTTTAGTCACCCAAATACAATCACTGAACTGTCACTTAATTTACTGATGTCGTTGCAGAGTTAATTCCTACAACATAATAAGTGGATTGTTTTTAGTGGAAAATTTACACCTTCCAAAAATGAAACTGATACCTGGGTCTTATTGTGCCCAACATATATTTAAGACTGTATGCAAGGTAGGGGAAAAAATGCAGGAAAAAAATAATTATGCCTTGTTTTCCTGACTGGTGTTTTAATTATGATTTGATTTAAACCAAATCCCCCAGGCTGTGTATGCACAGATCAAATATTCCACTCCCACACACTGCCTCTGCATGACCCCAAGCTGTGAGAAGAGAAAATTCATAGCCCATATGTCAGTCAGATGTTAATTCTTGCCCTGGCACCTGGAGAGGCTCTCCCACCTGACTGGAGTGCGTTTGCAGTTCTGGGCGTATACCCAAGACATGGAATAAGCTCTCCAGATCTGGAAGTATTTTGGCTGATGAGTTGGCAGAGGTCACAAGGGCAGAGCCCAGGGTCAGGTTCTGAATTTGCCCAGGTGCATTCAAGGTGACAGTTGGGCAACTGTGCCCCTGCTGGAAAGACCAGGGAAGGAGTAGCTGAGTTGCCTCTCTGGCTTCAGAAGTTCACAGCCCCTACCTGCAGGTCCCTGTCAATTCCAATTCAAACACTTGTGCAGATTTTAGAGTTTCCAGGAGAGAAGTTAAGGACTATTTTTCTGGCCCTGATTTAATTCTGCATTCCTGATCTAACCTGAAACCCCCATTCCCATATGCTGGACTAATTAGGTTAAGAGCCTACTAAGTAAATAAGTTGTAGTTGACAAGCATTCCTCCCTGAAGCAAGCTTTTGGTGTTTAACGAAAAGAGAGTGGGTGTGGAGAAGAGGAGAAAACAGAAGAGAGAGGAGGGGAGGCAGAAGCACGCCGAGCTCCCCACTGTGCTTCTCTCTGAGGCCGCTGTCTGAAGACGATGGTATTAGGAGTTGATTCTCATGTGAGTGAATGAACTCCACTTTCGGTTTTGGTGACAGCAGCATCTTGCTCCCACACAACCAGTTCACAAGTGGTTAAAGGCAAAATGAGTAAGGAGGCAAGACAGGACTGCACTGCTCCAAGTCAGTCTGTCATCGGCCACTGCTGGAAAAACCTCTCGAGGTACATGCCTTCCTGATAGCATGAGGTACCCTTCACATGCCAAGGATAGCACTTGCTTTCTTAGTTTGGTTTAGATAGTAGCAATTCATCTGATAGAATCCTTATTGATACGATTGAACTAGACATGATTTAGAAGAGGAAGTGCTTCTGCTTAACATCCCCACATGGCCTGAGATCCTTATAGTTCTGTTATCTCCATTTAATAGTTCAGTAAAAGTTGCTAAACGTGTATTAAAAATCTGTTGAAAAGGGGATATACTATATGGACATGAGTAGCTGTATGTTCCAGTATAGTGAAGGAGATGCTCAGATGCACGTGTAAGCCGTGCCCTGTGATTGGTGTTTTGGGGTGGGGGAGGAGGAACACACAGAAGAGGCCACTGTCTGCCTGAGGAAGTCAGGGAAGCTTCATTGAGTCACTCACATTTGAACTGAGTTTATGAGATGGAGGTAAAGGAAATGAGTGAGAACTGAAAAGATAGCTCAGGCAGAAAGAAGAGCAGAAATAAAATGAGGGAAAATAAAATGTAGGAAGGCAGAATGGCTCTTTGAACCAGGGTAAGGAACTGAGTCTGGAGTACTCTGAGAGCAGGTGAAGTGTCGAAGGTCAACTGATGACAGTTTGAGAGGGATTTTTAATCCCAGGCCAGTTTATATGGACTTCATCACTCAGGCCAGCGGTTATCTAATCATGCTCTACAGAAACCCCAGATTATTTTACAGGTCTTCTGCAGAATAATAAAGCGTTTTCCCTAAATAGTACAGATCAGCTTTTATCTGTCATATATATTGAGTTTTCAGGAAGATTTTGTTCGGAAAATTTGTTTGTAAACAACAGATATGGTCAGCAGGGAGCAATTTTAGAGTTTTTAAGCAAAGCATTCATACGAACAAACGTGAACTCTTAAAAAAAAAAAAGTAACGCAGCTGATGGGATGTAGGAGGGAGGGACTGGAGTTAGGAGGTGTAACTGGCAAAGAGACTGATCAAGTGGCCACCACAGTATTACAGGCCAGAAGACAGAACAGCCTCTGCCGAGGCGGTGACACCAAGAGCAGGGAAGACAGGGCTCTATTCAAGAGGTGTTTGCCATAAAGAACAAGTAGAACAAGATCCTGAATGAAAGAACAATAATAGATGACAAGTTTGTGATTTAGGTCAATGCATAAAGCAGATAATTAGAAATAGTCTCAAGAATAAACTCTCTACGCAGATGCTTACAGAGAATTTGCATTAACGATTCAACAAGAAAACTTATTTCAAGGGGTTTTTCTTGAGGGAAGGAGGGAGAGCTCAATGCATGGCTCACCTGAACCTTAAAAAAAAAAAAAAAAAAACAGGCATTCTAACTTTCTGTTTGAACTTCTGGGAATGTTTAGATATATAACCAGAAAGTCCCATGTATTATTATGCTGTTTGGGTGAACAAATTGACTTTCTAAGCCATTAATTAATTTGGTCATGCATTCCTGAAAGATGACTATAATCTGGCCAGATTTTGGAAATGTTTTCATCATTAAAGCCATGCCCCCAATAGCTTTGTGCTGGTACAAATAACCAGAGCATCATTTTTCTAAACTTTGATTAGTGGCTTTCATCTCTGTGTGTACCTGTTATCTCCATCACCTCCCCCAAAATAAAGTCTCAGGGAAGTAATGGGAGCAACGCTGACTCAGACAGCAGATTTTGGAGGATGATGGAATGATGTACTGTTAGCCTTTTTACCTTGTTTTAACAGAAATCCAGTCTTAGCAATGATAGTGATGCTTCTAAGAGGAGACGTGCTATGCTCAGTTCATCCTCACCCTACACTCCCTGCTCACCAACACGACCATCTGTAAGAAGCTCAATCTCAGACTTTCTGCCCTTCCCGCTACGAGTCCCTCCTTCAGCTTTATGAAAGAAAACATTTCTTTCTGTGAAAGGTTTTTGTACACCCGCATCTGGAAGTGTTTATTTCAGTGGCATGTAAGCTATCTGTGGATTTAGTTAGCACCAGACCCCCTTTTGTATACTCCTGCCTTAAAAATTTTATAAATGATCTTATTGAATTGGTGCCAGTGTGCACATGGTTTGGCTGATTGCTGCATATATCCTTTACCTGCCAGTCACCTTTGATTTATGTTCCTTCTGCTAAGCTTTTACTTTCCAAAAATGGTGCCACTGAACTGTCCTCTAAATCATCTTATTGGTTAAATTACTCCAAGACGAGCTGATATATTTTGGGTTGCCTACAGACAGATGAATTTATATCTTTTTGCCCTTACCCACTTCTAGTAAAGCCACTTAGTGAGGAGGGTTGGATGTGTTATGTCATCGATCTCTTTATTCCAGATGAATACCATCTGAAACACTGTGCCAAGACCAAAGTGACAAAGAGGTGTTCTTCAGCATTCCCTTCTGCCCAGAAACCTTCTTCTACACATATGCCTGTGCCTTGAACTGAACCTGATGTGGAGACTTCTCATGGCTCAGAAAAGGGGAAATAAAGTCTCTCAAACAATAAGTAAGCTTCATCAGAAAGAGCGAGACTTTGTAGGCTCTACAAAGCTTTACTAACTTGTGAGTTTTATGGTGTTTCCTGGAGAAAAGCAGGTGGCTTGGCAGTTATTTTAGATATTGGCTATTTGTGGTAATGGTTTTGAAGGGTTTCATATTTCTAAAGAGAGATCCTAAAAAGCTAGTTCTTAAGAGAGTTTGACAAAGTGATGCATCATTTTAAACTAATTTTCTAGGAGTTCACTGGTCACTGAATATGCCGTTTAACTTGATCTTGCAGGTTACCAGCTCTCTCCATGGGGGTAATCTTAATACTTTAGAGGGTAATCTTAATCACTTAATACTTAATATTTAATAACTGGGAAGGTTAGTATGTTGACAGAGTAAAGCAATACTGATAGAATTTAAAAATAGCTTTTGGCTATGCAAATATCTAACTTAAAAAAGCTTTGCAAAGAACGACTTTGTTCTGCTCTATATGGTGATAGGGGAGTATTTTTAAATTTCACGATTATACTTGAAATGGCATGGAAGCATTTCAGATGCCTGGATTACATGGCTCTCAGTGTCATAGGTCACAAACTGTTGGAAGCAAAGGCTCAAGTTTCTCGGCACCTTTACTTGTGGTCCCAGCAAGCCTGGAGGTGTTTATTCCAGAACATTCAGGAGGCTTCATTTATTCTCCTGAGGGTGTATGTGGCACTCCCTGTCCTGCTGAGGCAGAGGACACCTCAGGAGCTCACCGGTCCGTCACACTGGCGCAGCCTAGTCAGTCCTCCTGATGTGCTTTTCAGAGATGTGGGGACTGCATGGGAAATCAGCGCCAGGTATGTGAGCACAGTATTTGCATTAGAATGTCACTTTTATTCAAAATGTGTATGTGTGTCTATGCAGTGTTTTAGACAGGTAGAATTTATATGTGTATTTGCGTATATACACATAAGTAGCCTCATTTTAAAAGATTGTCTTCTAAGGGTCTTAAATGTATAATACCATTTCATCATTCCAACAGCCTAAAAGATAGTAGGTTATGACTATCCTAAATAAATAAACATTAAAAGATTATCTTAAATGAACCAAAAATTTCACTGACACTATTTCATGTAAGTCACCGTTTGACGTTCTACTGTCTTTGATGGTTGGAGTCAGATAACTGGCCTGAACCCCAGTTTAATCAGTTACGAAAATAACTGATTTTTTAGCAAATATTTAGTAGTAACCCTTGAAAGTTCCTAGCACTATGCCTAAAATAGAGAACATACTCCCCAAATGCAAACATGTTTTTTTCTTTTAAAATCATTGTCATCCTTGTAAAAAACAGAAGTAGAAATGCCCTTCTGAAAAGTGCAAAGGAGATCCAGTCTGACATGTGACTATGGGGGCAGAGACCCAGACCCACTGGTTCTCTTTCTTTGTAGCCTTCAGAGAATTCCCTGGTGTTTTCATGTCTATATTCACGTGTACAAAGTGGGTACTAATGTGTTCTTTATACTTTTAGAGTATCTTGAGCTCCATGACTGCTGGACTCCTTTCCTGCCCCACATTTCTGCCCCCGTGTGGGCAAACAGACCCATGTTGAGGACCATTTTACTTCCGGTGGTGGTGGCATAACTGACCACATATGGGAAGTGAGGCTTAGATGCAAAAAGGGTATGGTAAAAAGATGAAAAGCTACAGAAATTGTGGGTTGCACAAAGTGACTGCCAAAAGCTTTTCCAGGAATGAGAGCTTAGAGAAGTTGGAAGCTTTAGATTGAAAGAATGAAAGATATAGTACATCACAAACTGGCTTTAATTACAAGTTTCCAACTTGAGGATCAAGAAAGGACCTTTACCTAGAAAGGTTCCTATTCCTGCTTTCACTGATTCCTCACCTTCAGCTAGCAGTCACTGACCTCTCTTAAAATATGTCTTGTACCCATGTGAAAATTTAATTTCAAGTATCTGGGTGAAAGGGTTCATAATTCAACAAAATCATTTGGTGATAAGTTGTAGGCCTGGTCCATTCTCTCAGTCTCTTTGTAGGACCTTCCTTCCTTTAGTTTTTCAAGATAAATGAGAATTTATACTGTTTTTCTAAAACTTCCTAAGAATTTAACTGTGAAATCACTATTCCCAGGTTATTTCAGCATCCAGTCCTTACACTCTTTTCTTCCAACCTAAACTGAGAATTTTTCTCTCTTTCTCCTTGGTGGAAAGAAAAATACTATAATATTATATGAACAAACTCTCTGAGGCCCTTTCTAATTTTGTTAGCAGTGTTTCTCACACTTGCTTGGAAGAATTTTGTCACTGTCTCCACTTTAATCTCGAGACAGCTTCTCTGTACGTCCATACTTTTAGGGGTCAAGGTCTAGAGAAGGAAACCTTTTCACACTTGGATAGATCTAGGCCCAGGGAGCTCCTGGTGATTCAGGGCATGGTAGGAAGGGTCAAATCCCTCCTTTTCCTTATTTCTTTGACTCTCTCTGAACTGTTTTCTCCTTCAGAGACAAATTTTGAACCTTGACCCACTTTCCCCAAGATATTTTGTATCTCCTGGTCTGCCTACCCGCAGATAAATCAAGGGACTGTGTTTTAATCAATCATTTTATATCTCCCTCAGTGAATTACAATGGTCTTTGCTTATTTGGAGCTCATCAAAAGATGGATGAATGAATTGACAGATGACCGAAATGATAGTCTGAAGAGAGAACAACCTTCCAATGGACAAAGTCCAATCTTAATCTCCCTGGTCAGGTTTAGGCCTCCTGAACTTGGTATAGCCTGTAAATATGGATACTCCACTACTTTTGATTAAACAGTATATAGATCACTGCAGAGCCATAAAAATGATATGGTTGCTTCATTATTAGTATCCAGCATTAATCATTGATTCCCCTGGAACCTCAAGCAAAAATCATGTCCAGGTTACCTCATGAACAGGATCTATTTTAAACTGAATATTTTCAGTGGGTAGTTATATATACCAAATGTTTCGAAGAATCCTTGGGCATTGAGAAAGTATGAAGCTGAGCTCTTCGCATCATGCTGGAGCCATAGTGGGAGCTGACTCTGAATCTTTTGTTGTAGCACACAGACTCTGTACTCGTGGTGTGTGGGTTCAGTGGCTGCAGCATATGATCTTAGTTGCTCAGTGGCATGTGGCATCTTAGTTCCCCAACCTGGGATCAAACCTGCATACCCTGCGTTGAAAAGCAGATTTTTAACCACTGGACCACCAGGGAAGTCCTGACAAGTTTCTCGTTTTGGGGGAGGTTTTCTTTTTGTTTTGTTTTGTTTTATTTTGTTTAAATCCAAGAAAGCATTGTCTAATTATTGGGCTCTGGAGTTGGCCTTGTTATAGAAAATCCTTCTTCATGGGTGAAGTCAGATTTTACTGGTATGGCTATCTTATGAGCGATTAAACTGATAACATTTAAGGCAGGCTACAGTTGATAGTCAATAGATAGGTTTTTTAATGACAGCAATTATAAATATGAAACTATCCCCTGATAGAGGTGGCACTGAATCATCACTATCCATTCAGGAAGCTTTTGACTGAAAAATTACAGGCACCAGAAATAACCACTTAGAAAACAAGATTTGAAGAACCCAAAATAGCCGAATTATTTGGATATTAAGACACAGCTATTACTGAGATGATTATGAATTCCCAGAGACACAGCTTAACTTTTCTGATAAAAGTGCCTTTGTTAGTGGTATGCTGCTGTACAGTGCAGACACATTTTTATGATACATTTTTATGCATGGCCATCAATTAGGAAAAGAGTCTAGACATCTTGTTTTCAAATTTGGAAGGACTGTTTTCTCATTGGATAACGGCTTCACATTGCTGTCATGAAATATGTCAGGTTCCCACACAGACTGTAGTTGTCTGCATTCTTAGTGGGGAACCTTTCTCTCGCCCCATTAAGAAATTCATTCCCAGCAGATAGTATTTTGTGCTATAAGGCTAAATAAAATCACTGGTCACCTGCAGTATAAAGATGCAGCTTCATATTTCCTCACTGGAGGAGAAGTCGCCTTTCTTTTTATACCAAAGAAAAGCAGACATCCACAGGGATGCTGCAATTCTGCTTTGAAAGAAATAGAAGAATTCTCAGGATTGGACTTCCTGGGTGGCTCAGTGGTGAAGAATCTGCCTGCCAGTCGAGCCAATCAACAGGTTTGATCCGTGGGTTGAAAAGATCCCCTGGAGGAGGAAATGGCAACCCACTGAAGTATTCTTGCCTGGGAAATCCCATGGACAGAGGAGCCTGGCCGGCTACAGATCATGGGGTTGCAAAGAATCAGATAAGACTTAGCAACTAAACAACAAAAGGATAGTAACAAAGGAAAAATAGCACAAAGGAATATGTCCTGATGTACTGCTGTCAGCTAAAGGATGGTGGCTCCTCTCCAGAGGTGGATGGAGATAAGACTTGGGAAGGAAGACGGAAGAAATCGCCTCTCCCATGTGTAATTAGGACCCACTTCTCTGCAGCCTCTTTTTCCTGAGGGGTGTGTTTGGTTTGCGTCTTCTCCCTGGGCAGGGAAATCAATTCCCCTGATGAACAAGGAAGAATAAAGATCAGGAGTAATTCTCACATTTTATTCAGAAGAAATCGTTTTCCAGTTAATTAAGCAGCTGTAGTTTTGAATTCCTGGTATGTGGTCAGTGCCATGTTAGACACAGGAGGATAGAGGAAGGAGAAAATGAGCATCCGCTGAGTGCCGGCACCTCTCACAGGAGCGGGCCCGCTGAGAGCCTCTTTATTTGCACCTCTGTCCACTCCCAGCACCAATGCCCGAGACTAGAAAGAGAGCTTGAAGTTCAGCTGTGGGGAGGGCAACAGTAACTCTCTCTTTTGATAAATGTTAACTTTACCTCACTGATTGCAAGTGCTTTTGGAATTCAGAGGGAACTGTATGGCTGGATTAATCAAGAGTTTCCCTCCGTGATTTCTGTGCCTCTCGGTGCTCTCCTAGGCCTGGTGGGACCCTCAACCCCACATTGTGTGCAGAACCTCCTATCAAGAACACTGCTCAGGCCCCCTTCACCGCCACGCCCTGAACCAAGAGGCAGGCACTAATGGATGAGTAAACAGATGTGGTCTATGCAGACAATGGACTGTTGTTCAGCTCATGAAGGAATGAAGGGCTGATCCTTGCTACCACATGGATGAACCTTGGAAACATGCTAAGTGAAATAAACCAGACCCAAAAGGACAGATATTACATGGCTTCACTTTTGTGAAATAGCTAAAAAAGACAAATTCATAGAGACAGAAAGTGGATTTGAAGTTTCCAGGGGTGGAGGAGAGGGAGAATTATTGTTTAATGGGTACAGACCTTTTGTTTGGAGTGATGAAAACTTTGGGGAAGTAGTGGTGATAGTTGTTTAGTTTTGTAAACATAATACCACTGAATTATGCACTTAAAATGGTTACAGTGGAGAATATTTTGCTACATATATATATTTCTTTTTCACTGTCCTCACCCCAAAAAAAGCAGCTGCTGCCAAACGACATGAAGGTCTATGGATTGTGCTGTAGCCAGAGTGTTAGGTGGGTGTTATATTAAGTTTGAGTAAGAGGAGGATTTGAGCTGCATAAGTTTTTAAGTAAAGAAAAGGCGGATTAGCTCATCAAGTCCTCCTTCTCTTCATGTTCTGATTCAAGATTCGGTATATACTCATAAATTGACACAGTGTCCACAGTGGTTGCATGTGCTGGCTGAAAGAGAGTATGACTGGGGCTTCCCTGGTAGCTCGTGGTGAAGAGTTCGCCTGCCAACGCAGGAGGCATTGGTTCGATCCCTGGTCTGGGAAGACCCACATGCCATGGCACAACTAAGCCCTTGCACTGCAGCTCTTGAGCCTGTGCTCTAGAGCCTGGAAGCTGCAGCTGCTGAAGCCCAGCGCCCTAGAGCCTGCACTCCACGACAAGAAAAGCCACTGCGGTGAGAAGCCCACGCACTGCCATTAGAGAGTAGCCCCCTCTCACCGCAACTAGAGAAAAGCCCGGGGAGACCCAGCACAGCCAAAAAAGTAAGCTTAAAAAACAGTATGACTCATATTACTCTTAAATTTGTTGGTATATATGTATTATAGATCCAGATAATAAATGCATGAAATACAATAGTCTTTCTGTATATTAGCAACTAATTAGATGGGCATTAAATATTCAAATTGCAAATATATTTATTTTAATAAAATATATGATTCTGTTAAATTTTCAAAAAACTAAAATAGAAATTTTAATTTTATTTAAATACAAAAACTACTGTAATGATGTAAAGTAATTAGCCTCCAACTAATAAAAATAAATGGAAAAAAAAAAAACACATATCAAGGGCAAGCCCATCATAATGGTATTAACACAGCTGGTAAAGGAAAAGATATACAGGCTAGAATTTTGGGAAAACGACAGTGGTGTTTTTTTGTGCTTTATACAATGCAAAGTCTCTCGAATTTGTTACTGGAAGTTGTGGTCACAGCTCTGCCAATAGCAGTGACATTCTTTGGAACAATTTGAAGGTTACTTACAATATTTTCTGAATATACCCAAAGAAAGAACATCTTAATGAAATAGATGTCAAATTTGACCTTGCAATCACTGTCAAACACATGGTGGGAATACTGACAAAGAACAGTTGACGTGATTTGATACAATTTTGAGAAGATACAAGATGAACCGTAAAGAGACCAACACAAGTTTCTCAGATCAAGAATAAACCAAGGTCTTTGGAAGAAAATAAAATCAATTTTAAATTGCGCTGTCCACAAGTTACTTGGTATGTACTCTTGGCTACTGTGAATAATGCTAGCCAAAGCTTATCAAAAAGTTATATCTAAATTTGGCTAATTCACTTATTTTAAAAAGTTATTTTTTTATTTTAAAAGAAAATTGTTTTCTAAATCAAAAGCAAATTTGAACAAAGGAATGAAAATACTTGCCTAATTATGAAGAATTTTCACAAATCATCTTAAAACTGATTTCTATAGAAAATATTTTCTGTTTATTACAGATCAGGGTTGTTATTACAAGAAAATCACTTCAGTGAATCTCTTATTTGTTTTGTTGTTATTTCTAGAAAAGTTATGTAATTCTATGGGGTGAGGAAGGGGATAAGCATTGTCTGAAAAAGCTTCTCACTTAATTTTAACTTGGGGAACAGTGCTTATTCACTTGACATACAAACTACATGAAGTAAGCAGTTGTCTCCAGCAGTACATATAGTGGAGAAACTTTGGAAGAAGCTATCAGGTTGGGAAGCAGGGAGAGAGGCACGTAAAAATTAGAAATTGATGTGAAAGGTTGGGAAAGAAGAGAGGTGAGACTTCATTGAGGTCAGGATCTAGGAGAAGAGAGCCAGGAGGGAGAAGGAGAGAAAGAGAGGTTCAGCAGACGGGGGAGAGGCGAGCCGGGCCACAGGCACTCAGAAGCCAATGAGGAAGCGGGCCCAACTGCAGAAAGGATCTGCGTTCACAGTGGAGGGAGGTGTAGGCTTTGGCCCGAAACCGCAGTAGCAGTTTTCTTCTTCCTCTGTAACCCTTTTAAGACCTCTGGTATGTGTCGCCCAGGTGCACTCTAAAAGGGCTGCGCCAGGTTACTCTACCACCAGCAATTCGTGAGAGTTCAGATTTTGCTGTATTCATGCCAGTGTTATTAAGTTTTAAACATCATTAAAAGTTTAATAATTTGATGTTCTGCCAACATTTCTAAAATGTGGCATGGCACTAAAACGAAAACCATCCTTGTTTGTAAAATATTCCTTGGAGAATCCCAGTGCTGTCTGCCTTTGGTATGGGGGAAGAACCGTTGCCCCCAGCCGAGACGACAAGTCCATGAGCCCCTCTCCATCCGTATTGTGAGTCATAATACAGGACCTCTGAGTCCCAGAGCGGTTAAGGAGAATAAAGGAGATGATAAAAGTCAACATTTGTAACTGTAAGCTAGATAAATGTAAATTTTTAGATAATTGGTCTATACCATATTAACTCACATGGCAAGACATAACCTGAGTACCTACTTCATAAGATTGTGTGAGGCTTAAATAAAGCTATATCACTTCTAACCCCCAGTTTTTAAAATCGAAATTTGAAGTAGGGGATGGACTAAATAACCAATCC